TCAGGCTGGCCTTCAACTCACTTTGGAGCCCAAGAAGGCCTGGAACTCACAGTGATCCTCCTGACTCAGCCTCCTGAGTGCTGGGATTACAAGCGTGTGCCACCACACTGGCTTACTTTTTTTTTTTTTTTTTTTGGTACCGGGAATCTAACTCAGGACCTTGCACTTGCCAGGCAGGTGCTTGTGCTGCGGAGCTACATCCCTGGCCCCCAAGCGCTTACATTAAAAAAAAAAAAAGTATAAAAATATATCTAAGTTTACATTCAGTCTTTCTGAACATCATTGCAACCTGTCAAACTAAATTTGTTTTTCCTGTAAAAACAAAACCAAAAAGCCTGGGGTACAGCTCAGTACCAAGGTCCTGAGTTCAATCTCCAGTACGACACATGCACACACACAAATGACAAACTGAATAAATGTAACCTGACATAAAAGTAATAGAAGGAGGCCTATACATTCTAGCTACTTGGGAGGCCGAGGCAGGAGGATCGCAAGTTCCAGCCCAGTTTGGGTACGTCAGCGAGATTCAGTTTCAAAATGAAAAATGAAACGGGCTAGAGATGTACCTCAGTGTCAATCTGAGGAAAAGAAAAAGGAAAGAAGGAAGAAAATAGAGGAGAGCAGGTGTGGTGCCATGTGCCTATAATCCCAGTACATAGTTGGGCGGGAGGCTAAGGTAGAAAGATTCCATACTGGAGGCCAGTCTGGCTCATAGCAAGCCTGTTTCAAACAAAAACCAAATGAAGGAGCTGGATATGTTGCTTCAAGCCTGTAATTCCAGTATTTAGAAGAGGCTGAGGCAGGGGGATTACAAATTCAAGTTCTGTCTGGGTAATTTAGCAAAACCATCTCAAAATAAAAGAAATTCAAGAAAGGCTGGAAATGTAGCTCAATACATCAGTGTGACGGCCCTAGACTTAATTCTCAGTACTACCAAAAAAAAAAAAAAAAAAAAAGGGGGGGGGTGTGGTGACATATGCCTGTAGTCCCAGCACTTAGAGGAGACTGAGGTACGAGGATCACAGTGAGTTCAGTCAGCCTGACTATACAGTGAGTTCAGGGGCAGTCTCAAAGGCATAGTGAGACCCTACCTCAAAAAAATAGAATAAAATAAATAAATAATTAAATTAAAACAAAACATTGTGAGGAAACTAACAGAATGGAACTTGTGCCGTAAAGTTAGGAATGGGGTACTGGAAACACCAGGGCAATCAGAAATTGGAAATTAATGAAGCACAAAAATTGGTATAGGAGGAAGGAACTTGGGAAAACAGTAAAGAAAAAAGTATCCAAGTAAAGAAGAATAAAAGAAAGTTTGCAAAGTAACAAAGATTACAGCCGCAGCAAATCAAGTGACAGGAAGGCGGAGTGTCCCGCACCTAGACGCTGCAGGATGGGTCTGACAAGGACACAGGACAGCAGAGACCAGAAGCCGCAGCAATGCTACACTGGACTTGGTACAGTCCTGTGCCCGAGGCTGGCCTGAATTAGTGAGCTCCTGTCTCGAGAGAAAGAAGAACCTGAAGAAATTGTCCATTTCCATGAATGTGGTAACTGGGTATGACTGCTCTGGTCTGTATCTTGATGTCCCATTATGGTTTGTGTCTGGATGTCCCCCCAAAGCCTCATGCAGTCAGGGGGCAGGCTTCCAGAGTTTACGATTGATCCTTGATCCAGTGCTGGGATTATGGGTGTGAGTGCTACACCCACTCTGGGGTGGGCAGTTTGCATACAATCTGAGGGAGGGAGAGAGGCTGCTCTTCCTCATCCCTGCTCCTCACTTTTTGCAGTCTTCCACAGCCATGAACGGTTGCCCTCTGCCATGTGCCACCCTGCCTTGGAGCCAGCCGAGTATGGACTGAAGCCTCCACAAACTGTGAACTAAATAAGCCTTTTCTTCCTTAATTCTGGGTGTCAGAGGTCTTGTCTCAGCAAGGACAGAAGAGTAACCAAGACATCCCGCTCAAGCCTCATATGGTCATAGATGGGACTTCTGGGAGGAAGCTAGCAATGTGATACTAGATTAGTCTACTGACTGCTTTAGCATAGTTGTAGATGGTGGGATTACTGAAGGTAGCAGCCCCGCCAATAAGCTTATAGCCTGGATGGAATAAAAGGGACAGCAGAAGGAAGGCTGCTGCCACCTCCTACCTGCCCTGCCATGGACTGTTTCCTCTGCCCAGCTGCCCTGCCATGGAGACAGCTGACTATGTACTGAAACCTCCACAACTGTGAACCAAATAACCCTCTCCAGGCCAGGGATACAGCTCAGTGGCACAAGCACCTGCCTGGTAAATAAGCTCTTTCCTCCTTAACTCTGGAGATCAGGTACTTTGTTCTAGCACTGAGAAAGCAACTAAGACAGGACATTAGAGAATTTTTATACTTGGAGGCATATGTTAAAGTGTTCAGAGATGAAATGTCACATCTGCAACCCACTCTGAAATGGTTAAAGAAAAGAGAAAGCAAATCCAGCCAAATGCCCATAATGAGTGAACCCACATGGCAGATGTAGGAGTATTTATTATGATTCTTTCAACCTTTGGTAATTTTTAAAATTTTCATGATAAAAAACTAAAAAGAAAACTTCTGACTCACTTTTACCAATGTTCACCTGCTCCTTGCTCATTCTGAGGCAAAACTGGGAAGAGTTGTGTTTCTGCTTTTTTGTTAGAGATTTTTTTTTGTTGTTTTGGTACCAGGAAACAAACTCAGGACCTTGCACCTGCCAGGCAGGTGCCTGTGCCGCTGAACTATATCCCCGGCCCTGTTTCTGCTTTTTAAATTTCTGTTTTCTGTCTCTCTCTGACAACAGAGACCGAACTCAGAGCCCCGAGCATGCAAGGGAAGCATTCGTGTGTTCCACCACTCAGCCAGGTCCCCAGCCCCAGCCCTGCTTGCTCAGTTGCCCAGGTGGGCCTGAAACTCAGGATGCCACTGCCTCAGCCTTCCCAGTCGCTGGGACTCAGGTCTGTACCCAACCACTGCATCAAGCTTTGCTCTTCTTCCTCCAGTGGACCAGAAACAAAGTCACCAACAGTCTGTGTTGCTGAATCCCTGAACACTTCACTCCTGGTGGTTCTGCTTCCAGGAATGGCTGGGTAGATCCCAACAGATCAACCACTCCACAACTAGAAATCTTGGACAAAATGTACAACACAAGTGCCTTACTTCAGCCCAGTTAATTGTATACTAAATCAAAAAGTCAGAATTGTTCCCTAGACGTGGTGGTGCATACCTATAACCCCAGCCTCCTAGTTGGCAGAGGCAGGAAGACTGCCAAGTTTAAGGCCAGCCTGGGAATCTTAGCAAGACCAAGTCTCAAAATCAAAAATCGAAAAAGGGCTGAGGATGTAGTTCAGTGTAAATGCCTTAGTTTCAATCTCTAGTACCAACACCAGCCCCACAAAAAGTCTTCTATGTAGAAACAGAACCCAGAATCTCTGCAGTGCATCAATAAGATGATGATGCCAGTTAGTAGACATGCAACAAACAGGAAACTGAGACCCTTACTCAAGAGAAGAGGCAGAGAATGAGACCAACCCTGCAGTGACCCAGAGAATAGAATTAAGGGACAAGGCTCTTCCACCAGGAACTGCTACCCAACGACTGAGAACAGTTGATCTCGGCTTAGAATAAGGCTACAGAAGGCCAAGAATGCAGTGCACTGGCAGCAAGAGAGTCATGACCTCAGTCCCCAACACTGACTCAACGAACCCCCGCACAGAGGATGGAGTCTGTCATCAGCAGATCTGCCTTGCTAAAAGGGCCAAGTGCTGGGGACTTAGCTCAGTGGTGCACTGCCTTCCTGGCAAGCATGAGGTCCTGAGTTTGATTCCTGGTACCCACAAGAAAAAAGAAAGGGCCAACTGTGAAAGCCTGTGATCTCAACCACTTGGAAGGTTGAGGCAGCCAGATCACGAGTTTGAGCCCAGCCTGCCAGCCTGGGCAACTTGGCAAAACTCCATCTCAAAAAACATTAAAAAAATAAGGCTGAGGCTGCGGTTCAGTGTGAAGGCCCCCCCATCCCCAGGACCCCCCCACGTAATGCAGCCCCTCCTTTCCCTCACTGTGCCTTCGTGACCTCCTTCCCAGGTCTCAGCCACAGACCACGCATCAGCTCCACCCTGCGGCCCGCACGCTGGTTCTTGCTCAGCCTGCTGTCTGCAGCACCCACCCCTCCTGAGGCCTGAGATGAGGTAACTGATCTCCGCCCAGGACGGAGGCCACCAGGTGGGACTGACCTTACCGTCCCTTTACATTTACAACTTTGTCAGGGAAAGCAAATAAAATTTGTCCCTCCAAACCTAGTGTCCATTTCTCACCATCTCTCTCTCCTGGCACGTAAGTTTCGTAAGGACAAGGATCTCGTTTCCCTTGCCCACTACTATATGTGTCCCCATCACTGAGACACTGGTGGGCCTTGTCTCCCTCCCGCCAGGACCCTGCAGCCTTCCAGCCACCATGGCCTAGACTCTTGAATACAGCGAGACTGTTGCATGGGCCAGGATCCACCTGTCCCTACTCTCTGGAACACTCTGCTCCAACGCCATGTCTTCTTTGGAGCAGCCTTCCCACCACCCCATCTCATGTGCTACTCAGTCACTTCCTGGCTGCGTTGGTCAAGCTGGCCTCAAACTCTTGAGCTCAAGTGATCCTCCTGCCTCTGCCTCCCAGGATCTGGGACTGCAGGCAGAGCACTGCGGCCCTCTCAGCCTCTTTCTCGACATGTTGTCCTCTTCTAGGTCTCTGTGGAGCTGTGGCGGTCACATCCCTGGATGCTTGCAGAGCCACTCTTCACACAGGTGTCCATCCTCTCCAACCCCACAACCACCAAGAGGAAGGCCCAGGAGCGGAGGCCTGCACCACTCCCTCACTGCACCTCCAGCATCCAGGCTGCGCCGACCGGAAGCACTCTCCGAGTGAATGGAGAGGTGACCTGGGCCTTGATGGGGGTGGGAGTCACTCTACCCTTCGAAGGCTCCCGGCCAGGTGCTCACCTCTGAATGGTCTCCTCCTGCTCCTTCACCATATGCGCCAGCTGCTGGAAGATGGAGCCCAGCTCGACAATCGTGGACTCAATGTTCTGCATGGTGTCTGCCCGGCTCTGGATGTAGGAATCCTTCAAGAGGGAGACAGCAGTGAGCACTGGGGCCTCTTCCAGGGGCCTAGGTCATCAGGGCCTTCCCACCTGGCTGCTCCACCCATGCACTCCCCACACTCTGTGGGGACCCAGAGGAGTGAGGGGCCGCTCCCTCAAGTCCAGAGCGGGTACCTGCTCATCAATGAGCTGCAGCTGCTGGCTGGTGCGTGCGTCCACCATGTCGATGGCCACATCCTGGGAGGTGCTGGACTCAGCCCCCAGAACCACAGGGCCACCACCTGAGGGGGAGGCGGGGCTCAGCTGAGTGGTGCAAACAGGCCCAAAGCCCACATGCTCTGACTCAAGTCCCAGCTCGGGCACTTAATAGCCTTGTGACCCTGGACAGGTCATCTAACCTCTCTGAGCCTCTCCTCACCTGTAAAATGGGGAGGAGAGTACTTCCCTCCTTGAAGGGTGATTGTGAAAATCGAGTGAGAAAATGTGGCTAAGTATACAGAAGTCAGATACTCATTCTACAACGGAGTTCACCCAATCGATGTGACAGTGTGGAAGAAACGCCAGGGACCACGAAGAGCTGGAGCTGGGCCGGACTCTGAGGGACAACATGGAGGGACCCTGGCCCCCGCCTGCTCCCCATGACCTTCGTGCCAGGGCACCCCGACCCAGGACTCACCCAGGTGGTTGGGGGCGAGGGGCAGGGCGGGCACAGAGGCCCGGGAGAACTGCTCCCTCCGGCTCCTCTGCTGCTTCAGGTTCTGCGGTGGGAAACAAGGCACAGGTCCCGAGGCCTCAGGAAAGTGGGCGAGCCAGGAGCAAGGCCCCTCCTGCTGGCCCCAGGACCCCGAAGGGTCTGTCCTCCCCACTTCCCCTGGGCCTTACTCCACATTCCTATCCCTCCTACATGTTCTTCTCACCTCTGTCCTCACTTCTAACACCGATTTGAAGTCATTGGACATGGAAGCCAACTTTGACTGGAAGAAAAGAAGGAGGTTCAGTGGGAGAAGAAACGCCCCTGCACCCACCCATCCCAGTCCCCAGGCTCCCACCTGCAGCGAGACCACAATGGTGTTGGAATGTGTCTGCAGGTGTCGGCCACTCTGGCTGCCCTTGGCCCTCACGAAATCCTGAAGCTGAGCAATTTGCTTGTTGAGGCTATTGATGTCCTGATGAAAGAATCCACAAAAACCCCAGCGTTAACTGGGTCCTCAGCCAGTGCTTGGCCCAGGCCACCTCAGCAGGGGGAGCAGGGTGGAAACGACCAGCAGAAGTCCCAACAGCTCCCAAGCTCTCCAGGCGCAGGCGCAGCCCCTGCCAGCAGAGCTTCGTCCATGTGTAAGCACTGGTTTGTTTACCTCTCCCTCCTTGTCTTGGTTATTTTTCTCTCGTTGCTGAGACAAAATACCCAACGCCCAAAATGAAGGAAGGAAAGGTTTATTTAGCTTACAGTTTGTGGAGGTTTTAGTCTATACTTGGCTGGCTCTGAGGCAGAAGGTAGCAAAGCAACAAGAGCAAAGGGGGGAATGGCAGCCGAACAGCAAAGCAGCCAGAGCAAAAGGGAGGAATGGCGGCAAGCAGCCTCTTTCCCTGCCTCACATCATAAACAGGCTGCCCCCACTTAAGGGGCGTGTAGCTCTCACATAATCTTTGCCCTCTTTTTCCACAGGCTCAGGATGTATACAAAGTAAGCACTCTGGCTTTCTGCTGTCACTTAGCCAAACCTCTAGACTCCCCAAGTTGACACAATGTATCAACCATAACACTCCCACTCCACCCTGTAAGGCCAAGGAACCCTTCAGAGGCCAGCACACAATGACCAGCAAAGCACTGGACAACACTCAGGAAAAGGGAAGAGTGAGAGCCACCAGTTTTCAAGAGGCACAAAAAATGGAGAATTCCTAACACTACAGCAGAAGAGCAAGAGCTGAGATTCGCCCAAGGTCGTACGCTGCCGGCAAGAGAGGAAGGTGGTGGCAAAGAAAGCCTGTACCAGCACACTGGAGCCAAGGAGGGAGCAGAAGGAAGAGAAGACAAAAAATAACGAGGATAAAAAATAGGCTAAACTGGCAATGGTGGAGCACACCTATAATCCTAGCTCTCTGGGAGGCTAAGGCAAGAGGATCTCAAATTCAATCCATGCCTGGGAAACTCAGCTATGCAGTGAGCCCCCTTCCTCAAAATAAAAATAAAATTTAAAGGTGGGCGTGATGGAGCACGCCTGTAATCCCAGCACTCGGGAGGCTGAGGCAGGAGGATCCTTGTGAGTTTAAGACCAGCCTGGGCTACAAAATGAGCTCAAGGCCAGCCTGAACTGCATAGTGACTCTGACTCAAAAAGACCAAAAAAGAAAAAAAAAAAAAAAAAAAGAAAAATGGACCTCATAAGGACCCTCTGAGGCAGGCACTATTATACCTAAGCCCTGAGAAGGGGCCTGCAGCTCAGACAGTGGGAGGCCCCTAAGGTCACAACTTAGAGGCTGACCTACCCGAACCCATGGCTATCAGGTCTGGAGCCGGCTCTGACAGGCTAAGCGATGACTGTGATGGGTTCACAGTGGTCTCTCCACCAGCACAGCACCATTTCCCCGTAGCTGCATTTTGGCCTCTGTCATCATCACCTCTGTACAGGACAGGTGCGGCAGCCTCTTCCCTGGCTCCACCCTCAATGCGCCAAGCCACACTCCACGTGTCCAGACACTCAGGCCCACTCTGCTGCTCCTCACGGCCAGCCACCAACCTGCCTGGCAACCCATACAGCTGACAATGAGAGACTGTGGCCAGGCACCGGCAAAGGCCCAGGGGTGCATCTGTAAATAAGCAGGGGAAGCAATCTCCTGCTCTGATGCTATGCATCACTTGTTCTCTCTTAAAAACCTGTGCAAATGGGAAAGTATTGGGGACTATAAATTATAAATTTAGGCTAGGGCCCAGAGGCCTTATGCTGTGACACTCCAGAGCAAAATCACATCAGCACAGGATCACTGCTGCCCTGAGTCATCAGAAGGGACCCTCACCAACATAAGACACACATCAGTTAAGATCACCACCACACTCGAAGTCACTCGATACTCCGTGATTACTGTGTGCACCAAATAGTGGCTAGCTCAGCGTTACTGTCTTTGCCCATCCTGAGGGACTGACCTCCCAGCTCTCTTTTATGGATGTTTTTCTTTCTCCTTCATCATATGCCTTGGCCAGGTCTCTGACATTTGGTGTATGATTAGGCCTGAGGGAAGACCCACCCGGGTGGAAAGACGAGAACGTGTGATGACGAGGGAACACCGCAAGGTGAATTCAGAGAAGTCTGAACAAAAGTAAAAAGGTACTTGGTTTTCAGTTAGCTGAGATAATGGGGCAGAATTTGTCAGTAAAAGAACAGGTATGTACAGTTATTGAGTACGTTATTGAAGCAGGCCAGAGCTTGAGTCAACACCCACAAGCTGACCAAAGTGTTTAAAGGAACATTTAAATATTAACATTAAATATTCAACAGTATTTAATGTTTAAACATTAAATATTTAATAAGAAATTATTAACCATAATCCATGGTTTCCACAGGCGAGAACCGTGCATATTCAAAATTGGGATGACGATGGAGACCACTACCAAGCAGTCCTGAGCAGGACTTAGATTAACCGATGGGCTTTTTTCATGTTTACCTGTGAGTCTGTCCAAAGCCTAGGCTCCTTGTCTGGAGATGGGCAGTGGACTCATAGTAAGTGAAGCCCTATGACTCACTAATCCCTACTAAAATCTGTAATGGTGGATGAAACTGGAAAGCCTCAAAGGATAAGACAAGATCACAGCCAAGGACACCTAGATCCATCTCACTCCTGGGTGGACTAACTTAATACCTCACTTGGAGAAGTCCTCGAGTGGTTCTGCCCTTCTTGAGTACTCCCCTCCCTTCTTCTGATGACCAAATAAACACGGGCCACCCAGAGGACTTGGTCTTAGTCCTGAGAGAATCTTGAGTTCCGTGAGAGGGCTTTGATGCTCCTGGAGCCCTGAAATCATTCCATTTGCCTCTTTTATTTAGCCTTTGCCATACACTCGAGTATTCAGGAGATTGCAGACCTCAACAGGATAAGGTGTGAGAAAATTTAAAGAGAGCTCAATGCAGGGGAAAAACTATTTCTCCTGAGGCCTTTTCAGCTTGATGCCCGGTAAAATGTGTTTCAGCTCTGGTAAGTACTAGTGCCCCCAAAGTCCCTGGTTTAGAGCAAGACAAGGGACAAAGGTGTATAAAAAGAAAAAACTGCCCACTGTGCCACAGGCCCCAGGGGAGACCCAGAGTCACATGAGATTGACAGAACAACACCGAGGTCCACCTCTCCAGAAGTTGTGGAGGCTGGCCCATGTGCTAGTGATGCCAAGGCTGAGTATGAGCTGCGGGGGCAGGTGTGAGGAGCACGAATGCCTGCTTTGTGAAAACATCGTGTTGGCTGTGGTGGGAGGCACTGGCGCGCCCTGGCTCGGGCTGCTCGGTGCATCTGAGTGCACTTCTTTCCTGTGCCCCCACCAGCCTGTTCCTACTGTCTAATGGCAGCAATGCTCTCGGGCCAGCGGCAGAACCCTGTACCAGAGAGGTGGCTTCCGCCTCTTTGCCTTCCCTGGCCGTGCTGGGCATGGTGGCAGGACCCTGTAGTTCCAGCTATGTGGAAGGCAATCCACAGGGCTGGGGATACAGCTCAGCAGCACAAGCCCCTGCCCAGCAAGCACAAGGTCCTGAGTTCGATTCCCTGTACCAAAAAAAAAAAAAAAAAAAAAAAAGAAGGAAGTCCACAGACAAATCTCTCATTCACAAGTGGCCAAAATTATCATGTTTCAATTGGCTTTTAAAAATACAAATAAGGGGCTGGGGATTTAGCTCAGCGGCAAAAGCGCCTGCTTGGCAAGCGCAAGGTCGTGAGTTCGGTTCCCGGTACCGGAGAAAAGC